ATTATATTTTTTTATTATTCAAAATTTATTTTAATTTCTTCCTCATTTTAGCACATTTAACCCCGATTGTTTTTTTGTACATTCCCCTTTCCCATTTCCTCACAACTTTTATTGCATTTCAGCCATGGCTAGGTTGCTTATAGCCAGGCCTTAGTGCCGTTTTGACAACTTTGATTTGGCAACATTAATTTCATTCAATGAACTCTTCCCCATGGCGAGCTGCTCGTCCCATGTCTCTCATGCCATGATAGGCATGCTCGAGTGGGCGTAGTTGGAGAAGTTGTGTTTGTGTTTGCAGTTCATATATAATTTAAGTGTTGTTGCTGTTGTTGTTGTTGTTGTTGTTGTTGTTGGCAATCGCAATTGACACCCCCACAAAATGTGTTGACGACTTTTGACGCCAACACGCGAATTTGGCAAACAAATTACCCAAAATGCATCGAGCCAAATTGCTGGCAAATCGATGCCAAATCGGAACTAAACCAAGTTGAGGCCGTAGTCAGAGTTGTTGCAGTTGTTGCTGTTGTTTTTGCTGTTGCTGTTGGAGCTGGTATTGCGTACATCTATATGGCACAGCGTCAGCTGCATAGATAGTCGTCCATGTATTTGGGCGTTGATAATTGAATTGAAAAGTTTTTCGCCGCACTTTTGGCATGCCAATTGATGGGGCAGCGACAAGAAGAAGAAGCAGAAGTAGCAGAAGGGGAGAGGGGGAAAAAGAAGTGTATACAGTTAAGGCGGCATAATTTGCGGATTGTGCAACAGACAGACACAGAGCGTGTGGGAGCGGGGCAGGGGGCGAAACTGGTAAATGGAAACTGGAAATTGGAAAAGCGCAAGCAAATTAATGGCCAAAAGGCTGCACAGCGCACAGAGAGAGGGAAAAAAAAACTGTTTAAGCCAGAATGCTAAGCAAACCATAATAATAAAAGAGATAAATCAGCCTTAAGTTCTCAAGTTGCTCAAGTATCCAATGCATTGCAGATACACGATTTGCCCGTACACTGGCCGAGCAGAAATGTAATACAGTGGCTGCCGCATGTATACGTACTGACAATGGCCACACCGAATGCAGCCAGCCGATTGTTTTCAGTGTAAGGGCATTTAAGGCGTCGTGTCGTTTAGTTTTGAACATGCCTCGTTTTATTATAGCCTCATACATTAGCATTGCCTCTTGTGGCAATGTCACTTTGCCTGCAACTGCAACGGCAACGACGACGGCGGCAACGGCAACGACGACGGCAACGGCAACGACGACGGCAACGGCGACGGCGACTTACAGCGCATTTTCATAAGACATAAATTCTGCGATTTAGCTAAATGCGCTCTACGGACTTTGCCTGGGTAATTTGTGGCATGCCAACCACACAGCGGGTGCAAGGAAAGGAGTAAAGACACGCAGAGAGAGAGAGAGAGAGAGAGAGAGAGAGCGAGTGAGAAAAAAAATAAAACTGCATTGGCATTAAATTACACTCGCACATGAAGGCGAGACAGCGTTTTGGAAGCGGCCCCAGACAAGGCGACGCGACAAGAGCTCATATTGCGCTATGTGCATAGCGAGAGAGAGAGGGAGAGAGGGAGAGGTAGAGAGGGAGACGTAGAGTCAGAGTGAGTGAAAGAGAGGGCGTGCGCCTGGTTATGCGCTTTTAATGGAACATTTTGTACGCAAATTGCATTAATTTTACGTCTAAGTTGGCCCAAAAAAAAGAAAGAGAGAGAGGGAGAAAAAAGTAAGTAAGAGAAGCAGAAGCAGTAGTGGAGCTGGCGGGAGGAGGCAGCTCTAGAGCTCTCTGCTGAATAGAGAATAAATTGCAATGTCTATGTCATACGGCCAATGGCGTTGTCACTGATGATTGAACGATTTATGAGCCGCAGCAACTGCAACTGCAACTGCGCTGCAACCGCAACTGCAATTGCAATTGCAACAGCAAGGGGCAGGCGAATCACCTCAGCTTCAACCAGTTTTCGATCAATGGCCAGGGCAATGCAATTAAAAGCAGATGCCCAGCCTAGGCCAGCCAACGAAAAGTGAAAATCCAGCCACCAACGCACTATGGGCAAAAATACCGATAGTGCGGCATAAACCTAATTTTTTTTTTATCTCGAATCCGCAATTTTTTTTTTTTATCTCATTAAGGATATTCCAATAGACATAAAAACAATTTTTATAAAATTTTGGGGACTTCCCCTAATGTTTTAAGCTTCGTCAAAGTCAGCTGATTCAGGGTTGCATGGTGAATGGCAAAAAGTGCGCCAAATTATTCTCAGCTGTCGACGTAAAAAAACTATTGCAATTAAAATTTACAAACCAATTTAACTATGGAAAATCTTCTTAAAGGTATGCTTAACAGAATGTATTAAAAGATTTTGTGCTACTTGTGATTTATTGTGTAATCGTCCAATGTGTTGCTAGTTGTATTTTCAGCCGTAACCTTAAAAATATTTGTGTGTTTCGTGGAAGATAACTTATAATGTTAGAGTTTGTTGTTCAATGTTTAAGTAGCAAGGTATTCAGTAAACATTCCTTAATCAAATGCTATAAAGGGTTTTTGCTCCTTTTTGCTCCATTTGGCGAAATATCGTATGTTGCAGATACATACGAGATTAGCAATTCAATGTTGCTAGAAGTTTGGAGCAGCAACAATAGGCAAGAAAGCGCTGTCAGAAACTACATTTTGGAAAATTTAAACAGCGAATATATATCTGAAGTGCAACTTGACATTATTAAAGAGAAAGTCCATAATTTGACGTCGTATATGAAATATAATTTGAAAAAATGTAATCGAAATATGAATCGATTTAAACAAAAACATTCTCTTTGGCTAGCTTCTAGTGCTAAGTTTAAAATACACCGTCATGACAACAATAATAATATGGGAGGTCGGAAGAGCTTAAACTATAATGAAGCGGGATCCCGATTAAGGAGGAAATTAGCTTCTGAGCTTGCCGAAGAGAGCAAAAACGCAACACCCCTTTTGGTACATGCTGCTTTGATTTCATCAAAAAAATCAAAAGAAACCGAAAAAACTTATCTGTTACAAAAAGCTATGAGCAATGAGAATGTGTGGGAAGCAGAAAATAAGCAATCATCCATTGCAGTAGTACCTATAACTGCTGAGGCGGCATTAGCATTTTTAATGGAAAATGGGTTGTCCAAACAACAATATATCAACATAAAAACATTAAATAAAATGCATGGATGTGACATTTATCCTCCCTATTCAGAGCTTAGCGAACTTAAATTGAAATGTAGACCAAAAGAAATCTCCTATTCTGAAACCAAAGTGGAAGTTTCATTACAAAATTTGTTAGATCATACNATATATACCGCTAGATGGAGATATAGAAGGATAGATAGGAGGAGAGACAAAAAAAGAAACATAGAGAGAGTAAGTGTAACGTGAGAGACTTAGAGTGAGATAGAGAGACAGAGAGAGAGATAGAGAGAAGAGGAGAGAGAGCGAGATAGAAGTAGATAAAAAGAAAGAGAGGGTATGGGTAAAGCTATGGTAATTCTTTACTTTGTTGTACTACCCCAAACTGCTGATATGATTCTAAATGAAATTAAATAATGTTTATATATGTATTGTATACATATGCATGTTTATATACGAATATGTTATCACGTCTTGCACTATCATTTATTAAAATTTAAAAAAAAAGTTTTTTTATCTATTCAATTTGTGAGAGAAAATCCAGATAAAACCCTGTTTAAAAATATATGTTTAGTTAAGTTTACTTTCGGCTTGTCCATAAATAAATAAATAATATTTAATTAAGCCATTTGGCCCACTAAGAAGTTAAGGTTATGAGAGAAATGCGCTGTAGGGCCATAAAAACTAAGCAGCCATAAAGAATAAATAAATAAAGATATACAATAATAAAATAAATTAATTAAAAAATGTTAGCCCTTGATTTGTCAATAAACTTAAGATAAACAAATAACTTAATTACATTTGATTAAATGTGACAAGCCGAGGCTGTTTAATATGAAGTGTAAGTAGCAGGAGTATAAAGACTATGAGCGGCAGGAGTATAAAGACTACAAGTAGCAGGAGTAGCAGTAACATTTCTATATTAAATAAGTACATAACATGAGCTTAACATTTAAGCAAATATTTCGAATGAGAAACAATAGAAGTAAACAAGCAAGTTGGAATTTCGGTCGAAAATAAAATCTTTGAGATTCTGTGAACTGAAAATCAATTGAAACAATGCAGGAAAACATGGAGAATTCTATAAACTAGACTAAAGTAAGCGTAAAAAGTTGTATTTTATGCTGTTTTCTATGCAAACAAGAATGCGCATTGTCTTTGTATGACGCACACATATACAGTTATAGACAAAAGTAATGGCACACACACACACACACATAAGAGTAAATAACGAAGAGATTTGTATATTTTGTCGAACGATTTTGCGTGTTGCGAAAAATGCAAAGCCAAGTGCTAGCGAATGCAAAACTAAAAGCTCTAGCTCTCTCTCTCTCTCTGTCTCTGTCTCTGTGTGTGTGTGTGTGTGTGTTAAGCGGCAAACAAAAGCTGTTGGAAAACATAGAAAATCCCTTTGGGAAACAAAGCAGAGAGCACAAACGCACACAGAGACACTTTTAGCACTTGCCATTTGCTGCACAGCTGACAAAGGCAGCCGAGCAGCAGTGGAGCAGTGGAGCAGTGCGGCATGTGGCATGTGGCATGCAGCACGGGGCAAGTACTTATCTCTATATGCATGTATGCATGCAGCTCTCTATAGAGGTGTTCGAGCAGCAGCAGCAGCAGCAGCAGCAGCAGCAGCAGCAGCAGCAGCAGCAGCAGCAGCAGCAGCAGCAGCAGCGGCGGCATCCTTTGACTCGATTTAGATTTGTCGAGCAGCTGCTTGCAATTGTCACGCCTGCACTCTTTAACCCAGAAACATAAATATTGCAATTTATGGGTGGGCGGAGCTGGTGTGGTATAATGCATAATGTCATACATAAGCCGTAAGCTGCCGCAGAGAAATGTCGCGTACCAAATCCAGGCTCTGAGCTCTGTTTGCCTGGCCAACCAATTAGAATGTTGCGCATACGCCACGTGAACACACACACACACACACGCATACGCGCACTCACACACACACACACATGCAATGTTTTTAACTTAATTTAGTTGGGGAGTTACTTAAAAAAGCTTTTAAAAGTAACACAAGAAAACAGCAAACAAACAGCATAAGCAGAGAGCAGGGAATAAACAGAGAAAGACAGAGAAAAAACAACAGAAACAAAGCAAACAGAAAGCAGAAAAAAAAGCAAGAAAAAGCTAAACTTTCGTTCACACGGAGCCTGGGAAAAAATAAATGCGAGGGCAGTGGCCGAAAGGGGGCGTGACTGGGCATGGCTGCTTAATATGCACATATGTAGATTATGTGATTAAAAGTATAACAAATACAAGAGCCTCAATCTCTGTTGATGCTGTTGTTGTTGTTGCTGCTGTTGTTGCTGTTGTGTAAAAGTTTTTTTTTTTTTTGCTCTGCGAGTTGTTTGCAGATGTTTTGAACATTTTCATTTGTTTGATTTGAGAGCTGCTGCTGCTGCTGCTTTGGGCTAATGGAACTGAAGAGCAACAACAACAGCAAAGTTTGGGCAACAACAACAACTCTCAGCTCTCTATCTATCTGGTTAGAGCAGCTCTACATATGATTAGGCAGCCAACTAATGAGGGCTGGGCGACGGCTGGGCCGCAAAAGGATCAAACGAACTGTAAAAGGGATGAATGATGAGCTGAAGGAGCAGCAGCAGGAGCAGTAGAAGGAAGTAGAACCAGCAGCAGCAGGAGCAGAAGCAGCAACCGGAGCTGTGCTACAACTATCTGCTAATGAAAAACAAGACATGTAAACACACTCAACACACACACACACTCAGCACACACACACACACACACACATATGGCAGCAAAACATATGCAGCATACACAAACAGCAGCAAACCACTCAAAAGAGCTCAACCACCCACAGCCAACGAAAGCCACCAAAAAGCGCCCAAGCAACCCGCCTCCGGCACATCGCACTCAAAGGGTTTCAAAGTTATTTGTTTGCCCAACGGAAATACATCAAAATAAATGCGAGCCAACAAAAAACATTAAAAACAAGTAAGAAAGCTCTAGTCGAGACTGCTCGACTACGAGATCCCCTGAACCCTTGGAGTGCTAGCTATTTCAATAATTTTTCGCGTCTTTCAGCTTAGACAAGAAACACACACACACACACAAACACACACACACAAGCACCCACGCATAAACACGCATGGGCTGCAGTGTGCGCTTACTATGAGAACTTAATTGTTTCATAACTTTTTTTATGGACGTACGATCTTAATGAAACTTTCAGATTATGATTATAACATGAATATGCATGTAATTGCCAAAGCACAAGTCTCTAGTATTTGAAATACGC